TCGATGCCACACTCGACGAGTATCAGCGTGTAAGAGTTGAGAGGAGAGTCTAGGACTCGGCGAGTTGGGTATCCCGACTCGGCGAGTCAGCCCTGAGTAAGTTGACTTTGACCAAGGGTAAAAAGAGTCATTTTACCCCGAGTGTAGTGTTAGTGATTGATTGAGTGTGTTTATGGATTGTAGCCGAGGAGATTCAGGAGCAGCAGCCGTTAGTTTTCCGAGCCACACACTCATCCGCTAGCTTACGAGGTGAGTTTCCTTCCAGTAGGGGCGGGTCTAAGGCCACAATGCCGGCCCGTCCAGTTAGTAGTAGTTTCCGGACTTCGGTTCGATGTAGTAGCTAGTATGTTTGATGCCTTCGTGGTTCAGACATAATTCATGCGCTATGTGTTATGTGTTTTATGTTCCGAGCTACGGCCCGATGCAGTATGCAGTATATTTGTTATGATATGCTAAGCTATGCTCAATCAGTTCCGGACTTCGGTCCGATGCAGGGGACACGATCCCAGTCAGTTCCGGACTCCGGTCCGATGCAGTTAGTTCCGGACTTTGGTCCGATGCAGCTAGTTCCGGACTTTGGTCCGATGCAGGGGACACGATCCCAGTCAGTTCCGGACTCCGGTCCGATGCAGTTAGTTCCGGACTCTGGTCCGATGCAGCTAGTTCCGGACTTCGGTCCGATGCAGTTTCCGGGCCTCGGCCCGATGCAGTGGGCAAGGCCCAATATGTGTTTATATGTTTTGTATGGTATGTGGTAATTTGGGGGAGCTCACTAAGCTTCGTGCTTACAGTTTCAGTTTTGGTTTCAGGTACTTCCGCAAGCAAAGGGAAGAGCTCGGGGTGACGGCATCGCACACACCACCGCCTCAGCTTCAGTCTGGGATTGATTTAGTTGTTGATTTAATGTAGTATGATACAGTTTCCGCACAGTACCTTATTATATTTTTGGACATATCACGCATGGTTTATTTATATGATACTCTGATTATAGTTTTGATTATATTAAAAACAAAAAATTTTGGGTCGTATTTTTGGTCGTTTCACTCTTAATGAGATCTTCAATTCTCGTTTAGATTGTGTTGGCTAAAAATCGATCGATCTAAAATTTGATTTCCGAGTTGTGCATTGCTATGCTAAATCTTAGAAAAATCATAACTTCCTCATACGAAGTCAAATTTGGACGTTCTTTTTACGCACACTCTCGGTTTAAAGTCTACTACGACTTTCATTTAGATTGCTAAGGCTAAAAAGTAATTTATCAAAAATTCATTTTTTTTACATTACACAGCTCTGTGTCGGTTTAGTCGTAAAACTTCGACATGTCATAACTTCTTCGTTATAAATCGGATTTCAGGATTCCTTATATTCTCAAAATCCTTGTTACGACTATGTAACACCCCGATTATTAAATATATAAAATAGATAAAATTAATATGAATAGTAACCCTAAAATCCATAATATTTTGTGAGGTGTTGGTTTTCGGAAGCCAAAATGATATAATTTGGGTTTTCAGGGGTTAAAGTGTGATTCAGGATTTATTTTGTAAAGATTTTCAGAAATCAGGGGGTGTTTAGTAATTATTAGACTTAAATTTGAAGGATTATGGAATGTTGAAGGTTAAACGGTAACTTGTGGGACTTGGATTGAAATGAATTATTAAGGAAGGGGGCTATTTGGTAAATAACGAATTTAAGTAGATAAGAATTTGGAAGGAGGGGCTAGGAGTGTAATTATGGACTATGTCTTGAAATTGACGGGCATGAACCCGCCACCCCCTTCACACACACACACACACACACACACACACACACACACACACATATATATATATATATATATATATATATATATATATATATATATAACCCTAAACCAAGCTAACACTTCAGCCACCACCCACCCTTATGCCTCCTTCACCGGCGCCGCCACCACCCTATTTTCCGATCAGCGAAAGGCTGCCAGCGACCACAGGACTGCCGCCGGACGTAAAATGATGCATTGACGCCGTTTAGTGTCGCTGCTACCGTCTCATCTGTGTCTTCTTCTTCTTCTTCTGCCATCTGTCGCCATCTCCCTACGGTTGCTCAACCCATCGGTGTTTTCGTCATCGACAAAGACATGGACGACGTAGCAATCGTCCGAGGAACCAACACCCGTAGCCGCTGCTATTTTCGTTGCTTGCTGTCACCGTCGCCGCCTCGTTGCTAGTTTATTCCGTCAAGGTGTGCGTCCATCGCCACCCTCTTCATCTCTTCCTCTGTCCCATCATCAGTTTCGACCTGCCGCCGCTACCATCACAAACTGCCACTGTTGCCGCCAATTCGTGAGTATGTTGTCGCCATCGTATGCCACCAGGAGGGTGGTTGGGTGCTTGCAAACAGAAGTGTGGATGGGTGTGTTTCTGTTGTTAGTGTGTTTGTGTGTATATTGTCGTTTGGCCGGAAAATCGAGAACAACCACCACCACCATCGTGAGGTGGTGGCTGCCACTATCTACCACCGTCAGCTACCACATGGGTGCTTGTGTGTGTGTATGTTTATCTATTAGTGTGTGTGTGTGTGTTTATTTTTGGGTTAAAGCATTGCAAATTGTAACTAGTGAATAATACAATAAAGAAAACTCATAACCACCACCGTAAGGTGGTGGCCGCCGCCACCAGCCGCCGTGTTGGGTGGCGGTGTGCCTTGTTTGTGTTTTGATTCGTTTGGGATGCTTGGACAAAATGAGCTAGAACCATAACCACCACCGTAAGGTGGTGGCCGCCCCCGTGAGCCGCCGTTGACAACCACTACCTGAGGTGGTAGTGGGTGGTACCCACCTAATGAAACACTAGTGGGCCTAATAAAACCCAGTGGGCCTAATGAAACCCTAACTGATCCAAAGACTTGGCTATTGGGCCTAATTGCGTTGTGATTGGGTTGAAAACCCTAATTAGGGTTTAGAAAACCCTAATTTTTGAATTATTGGTTTGGACCTATCGGGACCCATATATAGGGCTATTGGAATGGAATTATGTATTAAGCCCAATCACACCATATGATTTATTTAGTAGAGTGATGTATTTAATGGATTAAGTCCTTAATGGGTTAAGTGAGAAACACTTAACCCTACTCATCATTTAATGTGAAAACCCTAATTTCCCTTGGGCTTTAAGTTGGCCTTTCTATTGGGCTTTGGTGATTGGGTTATTGATGAGGCATCCAAGAACAATCATATGGACTAAGAATTTATGGATGTGCTTTACGGTAAGGCCCATGTGAGGGTTTGGGCCCAATTTGGAAAATTGGGCCATAGATGGGCCATAATTGGGCCTTTATGATTATGAGATATTGGGTTATTAGAAATGTCAAATGTATTGACTGGACTAAATGGTTGGGCCTTAGTATAAGACCATGTAAACGTTTGGGCCCAATTTGGAAAGTTGGGCCATATGTTGGGCTTTGACTCATAGTTGACTTTTGGGCCTTGGGCTTGAGTCAAGCTAAGTTGGGGGTAGAGTAGTCTTTTACCCCAAACATAGACTTATGGATATGTGTTGGAACCTAATTACTGATTGGGTGTTATTTTGATGATTGACAGTTCGGGAATCTATCATCAACAACTAGAGTTTTGTCCACGGGACTTCAGCAGTGCGAGGCGAGTTACCTTCCAGTAGAGGTGGGTCTAAGGCACCAATGCCTACCTACCATTAGGTGATTATGTTTGAGATGATTGTCTTTGTGATAATTATCTAGTTTGCCACTGTTTGATATGCTTTATGTGTTAGGATGCTATGATATATCTGTTAGTAGTAGTAGGGGTGAAATAGTCCTTCGGTACCGGTTGAAAGATACGGAAGGGGTAGACAGTACCCATGCATGCCTAGCAATATACGATATGTTATTATGTGGTAGTGGTAGGGGTGAAATAGTGTCCGGAACCGGTTGAGATAAACCGGAGGGTAGGTCGAGCACCCATATATGCCTTACAGGCGTAGGTTGGGCACCCCGGTATGCCTAACAGGGGTAAGTTGAACACACCGGTATGCTTAAGATGGTAGGTCGGACACCCAGATATGCCTGACAAGGGTAGGTCGGGCACCCCGGTATGCCTGGAAATATGTTATTGTATGTTGTGTGGTATGATGGGGAAAACTCACTAAGCTTCATGCTTACGGTTTATAGTTTTGGTTTCAGGTACTACATTTTCAAAGAAAAGGAGCCGGCTTGATCGCAACACATCACACTATGTTTTCCGCATATGAGATCTTTGAGATTACACTATGATATTATTTTATGTTAACATGTTTTGATTATTGACACTTTGGTTTTGACATAAAATGTTCTTATGGATGTTTCTATATTAATTGGTTATATAATAACTTAATTAAAAATGAAATTTTTTGTCTTGAATTTTGGGATGTTACAGACTACTTCAACTTTTCTTTAAAGATATCGATCTATATATTATTTTATTTTTGACGTATATTTTTATTTTTATTTTATTATATCGTTATAAGCACAAATATTGCATATAATCACATAAATCACATAAATCAAATAATACTCAAATAATTCATCTTCATTACTTCAAAGTAGGTTACAATTGGCGACTCTAACTATTACATCATATTGTTAATGTTTAGCCTAGAAAAACAGGTGTTACAACCACCACTGCTTATCTATACCACCAATACATGTCAAAATCACCACCACCTTAGTTCAAACCCCATGAACAATCTGATCCTCTCCGCCACCACCAACCTTTATCAAGAAGACGAATCGACGAAGAGCTAGAGGGTTTTGTGCCATTGGTCATTTGAAAACAGCAAAGACTAAAGACTCCAATCGCATCAATCACATTACATCCTTAGAGTCCCTTGTTCATTTCAAGACCCGGAAGGGCAATTCACTAACGGAAACCCTATCGCCACCCTTCATATTCTCCTCCGACTTGATTGTTGATGCAAGTGGCGTTGAAAACCGAGTTTGATGCCTACAATTTGTGAAAGGGAGGTCCAATGCTATCTTCCTCATCAAACCCTAGCTCGCTGCCTCCTTTGCATATCTATTTGACTTCGTCGATGTCGTATCTCATTATCGGAACCTTAGCATTATCCGGTGGTGGGTTAGGGAGGGTTGAGGATGATAACATGCTTTTTTCCTCTTTTGTTTAATTTTAAATAAAAAAATATAACAAAAAAAATAATAAATGACAAATCTATCATTTAAAAAAAATTCAAAGTAAATTGAAACAAAGTCCTGAGAGAATAAAAATTTGGACCGATGTTACAAACCTAATCTTTTTTTTTACCAAAATTTTTCACATACTCTTTTAAGTAGTTAAACGCCTCTTGTCAAAAACTCACTATTTCACAAAATTGCCCCCTTAACCTAATAAAACTTAGGGGTGAAAAAAACCGAACTCGAAAACCCAAAAACCGACAAAACCGAAACCGAAAACCGAAACAAAACTCAAACCATTGGCTTTGGGTTTAAATCTTTGTAAAAACCGAAAAATAAGTTTTGGAACCGACCCATAAAACCAAACCAACCCAACCCATCGGGTTTGAAACCGATTAAAAACCTAACATCTAATCTCGTTCTCGCTCCTCGCTGAACCTCAAGCCGACGACAAGCCCTCAAACTCTCACCTCGTTCTCTCATGGATCAGGCATAGCCTCGCACTCTCGCAGTGTCGCACTGTGCACCGCCGTTTCACCCCACGTCCGCAGAAGCCAGAAGGAACAAGGAAGGTAGCAAAATCGACAAGCAATTGAAGTGTGAAGTTCTAAGGCAGCGAAGTTCTTCGACACATTTGTCACTCAGAAGTTATCAGGCAGCGAAATCGACAAGTAAGCACCTTATTTTCTTAGTTCTAAGTTCTCAATCTCATTTCCATCTTGAATAGCTGTGATTCTGTGATTCAACTTCGAAATCGACAAGAAATGCAACTTCTTTTCACTTCCATTTTGTGATTCAATTTCGAATTTCTTTTGTTGATTAGGCTTCTTTTCTTAGTTCTTAGATGTATCCTATAGTATGTAGACTGATTATTTGAATTGGTGACCTGCTAGTGTTACTGATTCTGTTACATCTATAGTATTTTCTTACTATCAATCGTCAAGTTCAAGTTCTTCCCTGGAATTCTGTTATGTGATTTCTTATACTTTCATTGATAATGCTACTGATTTACTAATTGTGTTTAATATACATGTTTTAATGTTTAACTTTTGAATTGTTATGTTGACAATAGATGCTACTGATTAGTGATTTCCTCCTAGTGTTTTTTGAATGATGTTCTTAAGATGCTTATATGGGAAGCCCTTTTTGGTCATTTTACACATATAACAGGTGCATATTAATCGCTAGTTATTTTACTTGTAGATATTCAACAACCAAACGACGGCGCAGCCATGGCATGTGCGAATTGGATACACTTTCACGCTACCTTCCCAACTACTAGCCATCGGCGGGACACTCTTTCGTCAAGCTTCAGTCTAGCCACTTCCTCCTCCGGCAAGCCGATATACTCTTCAAATTACCAATACAGACCTCCAGCCGTCGCCGTCCAAGCTCAAGCCAAGCGAGGCTTCTCAATGAAAAAGGAAGAGGAAACAGCTTCAGGTAAAACATCTTCTCTCATTGCTCATTTATACCGATAAAATTTCTTCTATCTCCAGATACGCTGTTAGGTCTTAAATTTAGTAACCGCATAAGTTTGACTTTTCAAAATCAAACTCGTAATTCTCAAATCACCGTATAACTTCCTTCTAACTGCTAGTACATCACAGCGGCTGATATGCAATTTGAAGCTCCGCTCAGGATTGTGCTGTATCCAGACCCTATACTGAGGGCAAAGAACAAGCTCGTTGCTACATTCGATGATAACTTAAAGAAATTAGTAGACGAAATGTTTGATGTAATGTACAAGTAAGTGTTCTTCCCTCATTTATCTGCAGTGATTGTTTCATTTTCATTTTTTAGGCTTATAGGAAATGTTGTTATTTACAGGAGTTGTTGGCTTCCTTGTCCACAGAACTGATGGAATCGGGCTCTCAGCACCCCAAGTTGGAATTAATGTTCAACTTATGGTGTTTAATCCGGTTGGTGAGCGAGGTGAAGGAGAAGAAATTGTTCTTGTAAATCCACGTGTCACAAGATATTCTAAAAAGTTGGCTCCTTTTACAGAAGGATGCTTATCTTTTCCAGGCATCAATGCTGATGTGGTGGTATTGTAAATTTATAATAACATATTACTTTTCCTACACTTTCATGTGTTTGACCTTTGACTGACTTTTTACGATTTTACAGAGGCCAGAAGCTGTTAAGGTTGATGCACAAGACATAACCGGTGAAAAGTTTTCAGTTGGCTTATCAGGCCTCCCTGCACGGGTTTTTCAACATGAATTTGATCATTTAGAGGCAAGTTAAAACTTAAAACAACATTTTTACAAATTTAGTTTCTAAACTTACTTATTTATATTTGTACGCTACAGGGTGTTCTCTTCTTTGACAGAATGACTGCACAAGTTGTTGATAGCATCCGTACACAACTACAGGTTAGTAATTATTGTTAACCAAGAGGGTTAAAGACGGATGATGTGGCAGTGACATGGCGTATGCTGTTCAAATGGCATCCATGTGGACCTTTCTTGTGATTGATTTTGTGACATGAAACAGGAGCTGGAACAAAAGTATGAGGATAGGACCGGATTGTCAAGCCCTGAAAAAATAGAAACCCGCAAAAGATGGAAGGCGGCTGCTGGATTTGGACGATCTTGATTTGATTGTTGCCATTATGGTAGTAGTGTTTGTATACTTTATGCTAGTTTTACATTTTTTTTGTTACATTTAAGCAACATCACGTAAGCTCTTTTTAAAGCTGGAATCTAAAGTATGCTGTTATTTTGTTTTGAACAATATGATACACATTAACTAAAGGGGTATGTCATAACTAATTACTAATGTTGTTTATAGTGTTATGACCTTAATAAAGTATGGTGTGCTATGACAAGTTTTACCGGTTTTGGGTAATGTAAGTCGGAGGAGGATGAATTTTCAGACTTTTTCGAATATCTTCTAATAAAATAGGAAGTCCTTTGGTCTGCAATTTGCTAATGGGAAGCTACTAGACCTTGCCTTTGGTGACTTGCTCTCCATTGAAATGAATAAATGTCGATTTATTTGTTCTTTGTAAGATGATGTTGAACCAAATTATTGGAGATGTAGATAACACTGACATTGTCACAACATACCGTTGTATCTTTTGTGACAAGAATAGATAGCCCAAGTAGAAGATTATGTATCCAACATGTTTTAGATGACATTTGCTATGACTCAGTATTCGGACACAAAATAAGATGATCACTGAGATGTTGGCTTGTCTTTTGGCGGACCGGGAAAAGATTATCACCGAGAAAAATACAATATTTGAACATCTGACCCAATTTGCATCAATATAGGGTATGAGTTTGGAATATCAAGATTTTTAATTAGTGATGTGGTAGTCCATTGTGCCACAAGTATAATGTAATATATGTTTGAGGGTAGTTATGTATATCTAGTCATGAGCGAGGGTGGTGTGAATCAACCGTGATCCAAACACTTTTAACAAATTTCAAATTCTAATCCCAAGTCACCCTTTTGATTTGGTAGGCTTCCCTAACTCTTGGCGCCCAGCTTTGATTTGGTATATTTCTTGTAGATTGTCTTATTTCATGGTTCTCTAGACAACAATACAATGTCATGTACTCCAGGGTTGAACCTGAGTATCGTACTTGGCCCATACGGTCATTGGAACTTGGTGGACTTGCGATCTTCTCTTAGAGCTTCACATGCATATGAACACAAATACCATTATCTGCCGCGACAATGCGTCCAACATTTATCTCAACGACAATCATATCCAACATCATTGCACAAAGCATGTGGAGCCCACGTATACTTTGTAAATTTTTTGTGTCTATGATAGTCGGGTCCTTCACGCGCCAACCCGGTTTCAGTATATCGATATCTTTACCAAAAGCCTTCCGCAATATGACACAAGTTTTATCATGTTTTCAGTCTAGTCTAAATGTTCGATCATGTATAGAATCAAGTTGGAGGGGGAGGGGGGCATTAATTTTTCTTTGGATCGTAAACAAGTGAAACAAAAAACTACACACTCATTATTCAAGTACCTACCATAACCTTTTACATTCTTTTTAACTTTGCTTTGGGTAACTAGAATATGGAATATGTATTTTTTTTTATATGTAGAAATGTTCAATGAAAATTTAAGATGTATAAAATATAAAAGTTAAAAGTTAAAAGCATTAAAAAACAACTTAAAGTAGTTTTTGGATTATACATGTCAAAAGTTTCAAACTCATATTGTTGAACAAATATGTTTCTTTAAACTAAAAGTTTCAAACTCATATTGTTGAACAAATATGTTTCTTTAACTGGGTTTCTCCTTAATAGCAAAAAACTCCTAAAAGCTCTTAAGTTGTGTATGTCGGACTAACTTAAAATATAACTTCTAGTTAAAAATGACAAAAAAAATCCAAAAAGCTCGTTGCCTAATATTACTCTAAGGTTGTGTGTCTCAGACTAACTGAAACTATAACATTTAGCTGAAAAACTAGTTTTTACTTAATAAGCTAATTGATAATTAATAAAATAATAACTTTTGATACAAACTATAGATAAATTAAATGGAAATATAAAATATAAAAGTACATAAAACATTTCAGAAAAATAATTAAAAATTAACGTTATATGTGGGAAAGAATTATCAAATTCATTAAATAACTAAAATAAATAATAAAACTTCTATAAAAATAAAGAGAGTGTTGGCGAGAGCTTAGCTGGATAAGGATAATTAGATAATTGTAGTTTGTTGTGTAAATATTATCAGATCCTATAATAGCTGATAAATAGTTATTTTATTTGTTGTATAAGTACTCTAAGATCCGATCAATGAAATACATTGAAAAACTTCTCCCATCTCTCTCTCTGATCTTTAAAACCACATGGTATCAGAGCGTAAGAGATCCTGAACCATCGCATTAAATCCACGTATTGAAAACCCCTAAAATCACCGAACCAGCGAAGCATCATGGGAACAAACGATAACTCTTCCGGTTCCTCCGTGATTGTCCAGAATGTCCAGGACACACCATTCCCCACAGGTGTTACCCTTGACGACACAAATTACCCGCTGTGGTCGCAGTTGATGGAGATGAGGATCGGAGCTCGTAAGAAATCCGGTTTCCTCACCAACGCATCCGCGAAACCTACCACTAACGACAAGGCAATTGAAACATGGGTCACCGACAACAATAGGGTCAAGAGCTGGCTCATTGACTCGATGAACCAAAACCTAATGCGCCGATTCATACGTCTCCAAACGGCTGTAGAAATATGGGAGGCGGTGAAGAAGACGTTTTACAATGGGTTTGACGAAACCCAGCTCTTTGAACTAAATCGCAGGTCCTTCACAACCCGACAGAATGGTAGAAGCCTACCCACATACTACAATGAATTGATCAACATATTTCAAGAGATTGATGCCCGTTTGGTGACTGAAGAAGCGATTATGGTTGAGACGGTGGCAGTAAACAAAACCCTATCTCGGTTTAGGGTCCACATCTTCCTAGCCGGATTAGATCAAGAATTCAATCAGGCAAAGAGTGAAATTATGAGGAAGGATCCAGCTTTGGATCTCGATACCTCATATGCTTACATCCGTAAGGACTACACTCAGCGACAGTCCATGGAAGAATCCAAGCCAGAATCGGATAGCATAGTCCACATGGCTGCACGAAATCGGAATCAAAACAAAGGAAAGAACAACAAAGGGAACACGTTCACATGTACCTACTGTGGTGAAGATGGACATTCAAAAGCAAAGTGTTATGAGCTCATAGGCTACTCGGAATGGTGAGATTTCACCAAGAAACCAAGGAAGAAGATTGGTCAAGCGGTTGTGGTTAAGTCTCCCCAGACTAAGGAAACAACAACACCCATGGCAGCTCACACTTCGGCAAATACGGGTATGTCATACACTACTAAAATTGATCAAAGTGATAAATGGATTATTGATACAGGAGCTACCGATCATATGACAAATGATCTATCCAAATTAACTACACATCACACTCTAAAACAAACAAATATCCGAACTGCAAGTGGTGAAATAGAACCAGTGATTGGTAAGGGTACAGTAAAAGTCACGGATTCTATGGATTTGGATTTTGTCCTTGTAGTCCCTTCTCTATCATCAAACTTATTGTTCGTTAGTCAAATCACTGAAGCTCTAAACTGTTATGTTATATTTTGGAAACATGACTGTGTATTTCAGGACTTGGTAACTCACCGGACTCTTGGTTGTGGTACTATACGTGGCAGGTTGTATTACCTTGAAGAAAATCATCAAAGTCAAGCGTATCATGCAGGGGTAGCTCAAGTAAATAAGTTTGTTGCAATGCTTTGGCATCGAAGACTAGGGCATTTATATTTCACGTACCTTAGAAAACTTAAACCTAATTTGTTTTTGAATGAAATGGATGATGATTTTAAGTGTGGTGTTTGTGAGTTGGCCAAAAACAAGAAAATTTCTTATTCATCAAGTGATAATAAATCTACCATTCCTTTTATGAAGATTCATTCGGATGTATGGGGGCCTGCCCAAGTACTTACTCCTAATGGTGCTAAGTATTTTGTAACTTTCATTGATGAATGTACACGTATGGTGTGGGTATCACTCCTTAAAACCAAAGGAGAAGTAGTAAAAGCTTTTAAAGAACTATACCATATGATTAAAACTGTATACCGAGCGGAAATTCATATACTCCAATCTGACAATGGAGGAGAGTATATAAATTACCAGATGAAAACATTTTGCAAAGAAAAGTTGATTCACCATCAAACTTCTTATGCAAGATCACCACAGCAAAATGGCCTTGCCGAGAGACGAAACAAGCAACTACTGGAAATTGTTAGAGCTTCCCTCTTTGACATGGAAGTTCCTCGGAAGTTTTGGGGTGAGTCATTGAGATCCGCAGCGTACCTTGTCAATCGCACACCATCCAGGGTATTGGAATTCAAGACACCACTGCAAACACTACGTGAACTAACCGAGATACAAATCAATGAAGGTCTTGAGCCTCGAATATTTGGTTGCACAACTTATGTAGATCAAAACTTAGGGAAGTTAGAACCAAGATTTGTCCGGTGCATGTTCCTCGGGTATGCGGATGCCAAGAAAGGCTACCGGTGCTTTGACCCAGTTGAAAACAAAGTCCATGTTACACGTGACGTAGCATTTCATGAAACCATTCCATTTTTTGGTCATGCATGCTCTCTTCAGGGGGAGAGACAAGAAAAAGGGAAAAAATACATGACGTATTGGAAATGTGTAACATAGAACATGTAGTGCTTGGTGTCAATGTCGAGGAAAAAGGCAATGGAGACTCAGCACATGACAACACAACACATGCTCACGTTGATACGTCTAGTACCAGTACCGAGCCACAGTCCAGTACCCAAGTCGAGTTACCAGATCTGGAAGGAAGGGAAGATGAACCAGAACCGGAAATCCCGGAATCGGAGGTGAGAAACACTACTAACAGTCCAGAGGTTGACCCCGACCCTGGTTATTTTGAACCTATTTTGCAGGATATTAATGAGGATGAGGAGGCTGGAAGTGAACGAAGGTACCCTATGAGAAATAATCGGAACCAACCTAAGAAGCAATATGTACCAGATTTGAAGACAAATGCAAAGTATCCAATCGGAAACTTTGTTTCTCATCACCGACGGTCGGATACACATACACTAAGAGTCGAACGTATTTCAACTATCAACATTCCAAGAGATGTACAAGAAGCCCTTAAAGACGAAAAATGGAAGAAAGCAATGAATGAATAAATGGAGGCACTACAAAATAATGAAACGTGGGAATTAGTGAATTTGCCAAAAAAAAATAAAAAGACTGTTGGGTGCAGGTGGATTTATAATGTAAAGCTTGATGAAAAGGGCAATATAGATCGGTACAAGGCTAGGCTCGTAGCCAAGCGGTACACACATAAATATGGTATTGATTATGGGGACACATTTGCACCAGTGGCAAAGATGAACACTATCCGAATCCTAATATCTATTGTTGCAAACAGAGACTGGCCTTGAAACAATTTGATGTAAAAAACGCTTTCTTAAACGAATACTTGGAGGAAGAAGTGTACATGGATCCGCCACTAGGAATTGTGAGTAATGGAAAAGTATGTAAACTAAAAAGGGTATTGTATAGGTTGAAACAATCTCCAAGAGCATGGTTTGGAAGATTCTCCGCCTTCATGAAGAAAATCGGATTCAAACAGAGTGATGCGGACCACACACTCTTTGTCAAGGGTGGAGGACAGAAAGTGACAACACTCATAATGTATGTAGATGATATGGTGATTACTGGGAATGACCCTGAAGAAATATCAAATTTACAAAAAGTTCTCGCCACTGAATTTGAACTAAAAGACCTCGGACACCTTAAGTACTTCTTAGGTATCGAGGTTTCACGATCTAAAGCTGGAATAAATATGTGTCAATGGAAGTATGTCTTGGATCTACTAACAGAAACGGGAATGCTAGATTGTAAACCGGTAAATACCCCTATCGAAACTAACCATAATCTTTCTATTATGGAAAACCAGGTGCCGGCTAACAAAGAGAGGTATCAAAAATTGGTGGGTAAACTCATTTATCTAGCTCACACTAGGCCGGATATTGCCTATGTTGTGAGTGTTGTTAGCCGGTTTATGCATGCTCCGGGTGAAGAACACATGAATGTTGTACATAGGATATTAAGATATCTTAAGGCGTCTCCTGGAAAGGGATTGTTTTTTGGAAAAAACGCTCAACAGAATACCGAATTGGAGGTGGTTGGATACACAGATGTCGATTGGGGTGGAGATAGGATGGATGGCAAGTCAACCTCAGGATACTTCACGTTTGTGGGGGTAGTTTAGTGACTTGGAGAAGTAAAAAACAAAAGGTGGTAGCTAGATTAAGTGCGGAAGCTGAATTTCGTGGAATGGTACATGGAATATATGAACTATTGTGGATAAGAAGAATATTGCTAGATCTGGGTATATACTTGAGTAAGCCTATGTTACTATATTGTGATAATGAATCTGCAGTCAAGATTGCAAACAACCCAGTACAACATGAGTGAACGAAGCATGTGGAGATTGATAGACACTTCATTAAAGATCATCTTGAGAAAAGAACGGTGGAATTGCCACATGTAGCATCAAAAGAGCAGTTGGCTGACATGTTGACTAAAGTTGTGCGTGGGAAGATTTTCGAAAGCTCTCTGGACAAGCTGGGAATGATAGATATCCATTCTCCATCTTGAGGGGGAGTGTTGGCGAGAGCTTAGCTGGATAAGGATAATTAGATAATTGTAGTTTGTTGTGTAAATATTATCAGATCCTAGAATAGTTGATAGATAGTTATTTTTTTTGTTGTATAAGTACTGTAAGATCCGATCAATGAAATACATTGAAAAACTTCTCCCATCTCTCTCTCTGATCTCTAAAACCACAGAGAGACCTTGTTGTATAAGACACTAAAAGTTTATATATTTGGTAGTATTTATATAAAAACCCTTGACAATAAAAAAAGTTAATTATTTAAAAAAGATAATACAACTCCAAATTTTGTTTTCAAATGTTTTGGAACAAAAAGTTAAAAGCTACGGATGTTTAATTAGTTAGAAATATAGAAAAAGAAAACTTGAATTTGGGTTTATAAGTAATAGTGAAAGGTTGCGAAAAAACTATAACTTTGTTTTATGAGTAAAAGACAAATCTATCATTAATCATTTAAATGTTTTCTCAAGAAATAACAAAAAGTTAAACACTATAAATTCCACTATGAAAATCGAAGTTGGGCCGGATTGGGCTACGATTTCCATGTCTTGGGTTACAATTTTATGATTTTATGAACTATGCATCAAATAAAGGTATGGATATCAATATTACATAGGAGATATCAATAACAAAAACATTGTTAGTTTAGTGGGTAATGTGCATGCCTTACTTCACCTGAGTCATGAGTCACGAGCTAAGCCTCCCTTTCATCTTTTCTTGTAATTTTTGCATATTTCATGAAAATTGCAGCCCAATAAACTGTTTCTAAGTCAGCTAGCATTTCATCGCAACCCAATCCGGTCCAAGTGTGAGTCTTCTAATAAGTCATTAATACTTTATCCCAACCTAAAAGAAGAAAATGGTAGTCAAATAAGCTATTTCTTTGGCAGGTAAATTTTTTTTGCCAATGATAAAAGGATGTCACTTAGGCGTCACATTATCTTTTACATTTTCTTACAAAATTTACCTACCAACTAAGGTGTGTTAAATGGTTTTACCTATGATTCTTTAAAATTCTTTTTTTTAATAAAAACCATACTAAAATTAAAAATAACGTGAAGTTCAAATTTACATTAAAAACCTAAAAAAAAAAACATGAAGTGAAGAAAAAAAAACCTAGAAAACGAACATAACATCCAAATTCCAGTTGCATTTGTGCTTATATTTTTCATGAATCGAAGCTTTTACCAATTTAATCGCTTCCTGATCTTCGGGGTCGAGGTGACTCACATCTTGCATCAACAACGAATATTCTGTGAGTCAGACCGTTTCAGTAGTATGTTTCTCCAAAGTTGTATTCAATTGTGTCATCATTTCATCCGATCTAGTTGACCGCTCTGTTCTAACCGAAGAATTTGACAATGAAGCTTTTTTTTTTTTTTTTCTTTTTCCTCGAGCTTTTGCTTTGTCCCTTCCCATGGGGCGAGGAGGCAGACGTATTCCTTCGATGTCGTCGTTATGATCGTTAAGATCAAGGCCAATGTGACCATCCGATGATATTTTTGTGAGTTCGAATATGAAGATGTTCGGCTTTTTTTTTTGGCAGATTAACATTTAGCAATGTTTTCATGTGTTGCAAACTCCTTCCGCCTAATGTTTCTTTTGATAACTTCTCACATATTAATGAACTTAAAAGACTTCGACATGTCATCTTGGAATGTCGCATGTGTTTTTTCGTTCCAATGTGTCACGAGTTTGTTAATAAGATTCCATTTCAAGTTACATTGTTCAAACGTCCGATAATCTGGGTATCGACCCATACCAATACAAAACCGCTCTGTAACATGTAACCAAAATTGATCACGCTTTTGAACATTTCCCTTGTTGCTATCTTTTGATATGTTGACCCATGCCTTTGCTAGTTCCGTCTCTTCTTTTTGAGTCCATCTTCTCGAATCAACATTCTCTTTTTTTGGTTGTGGTTGTTCTTCGAGCTTGGAATCAAAAAGTGTTTTAGTTACGGGTATGAAAGGCGGTTGAAATTAAAATTAGAATTGGGTTTGGGTTTGAGTTTGTGATGTTGTTTGGGTGGTAGGGATAGGGGTGCCAATTTATGACACGACACATAAAAATACACGACACGAAACGAAATTGAAACAAAACTAAAATATCCGTGTTCGTGTTATGTTCATTTTAACTGTACAAAACACGATATTGTGTCGTGTCGTGTCGTTTTCGTGTTCAAAATTCGACACAAATTGACACGATTTAGCAGTTATTTATCGTGTTTTTCGTGTCTGTCGTGTTATATTTAACAAAGTATTCATAAAATAAACTTGCTTTTAGTATATGTTATATTTGTCATGCCGTGTCATGTTTGTCGTTTTTTAATTCGTTCGTTTTCGTGTTAGTTAAAAAAACACGACATCGTGTCGTGTCGTGTTCATGTTACATAAAATTTTATCGTGTCGTGTCGTGTCAGACAGAAACACGAAACGATAGCACGATTTGCCACCCCTAGGTAGGGATTTGAATTGAAATTGTTGTGACATTTGGAATTGTGAATAATATCTTGGAACACCGCTTACAAACGCTTGGTTTTGAGATGGATATATTTGTGGTCGGAAAGGTGGTGATGATGCCAGATCGTAACCGAAAAAAGAAAATTGGTTGGAAGCATTTTGGGTTGAAGCATCTGGGTTGGAAGAGTTTGGGGTCTTGGAAGACATTTTGATTATGTGTGTGTTTTGAAATATGTGTGTGTTTTCAAATTAAAGGTAAATGAATATATATAGTGGTAAATTCATAGATTAAAAGAAATAAATGAAACGGTAATAAATCCAACGCCGGCCAACATTCATTTTCTTCCAACGTTTAAATTGTTCAATTTCACCATCTGTGGGTTTCGATCATCAGTATCTCATCGGCGGTAAAATGGGGGTAAGATGCGGTGTTTACCGGCGGTAAAGGTGTCCACGTCGGACTACTGTCGATAAAACACAATCCACAACGATTAGCCTTAGCATTTTAGCGCAACCCAATAAAAAAGATTCAAATCCCAATCAACTTAGATTTTCATTACTATTTTTGTAATTAAGGGTGTGTCCGACAGAGAGCGTTTGAGTGCTTCTAGCTTCTAGTGTTTGATAAAACGCTCCGTTTTGAACAGTATGTCCCGTTCGATACTATAAACTTCTAGTGTTTAGTTTAAACAACACTTTCTAAATCCAAATGCTATTTCATGTAGCGTTTAACAAAATGTTACAAGTTTCAAGCTATCAACTAATTTCACGGAACACGCGCTAACGAAGCCCAATTTGTCTTCGACCATCTCCGAACCACGATATCCTATTTAATTTATAAAAAAGTGTTTTTATTTATACAAACAGCAAACCAAATAAAACTTTGGAAGATTAGTGTTGTAGACATTATCAATTTAGAGGAATGTCCAAAACAACAATCGATGTTCAGCAAATCCCTTTTGACTTTGACTCATTTATTATCCATTTATCAGGACACCAATGAACGCGGGTTTATCCAATATTTTACGTGTATTTATTGATACAATCAGCGTATAAAGAGTGAAGGGTGTTAATGATTTGAATTAAAGGTAGCAATGGAAAGTTCAGTAATAAAAGAAGCACCCTCATCCAACCGTTATAAACTTTGATCCCAGTAAGATCAACGGCTACAAAGCCTTTTACAGCAACATTAATACCAAGGCCACCATTCAACAACTTCCACGTGCATCCTCGGGGCCACACCAGCCAACGTATACGGACCTCTAAAGTCGCACCTAAATCCAATTTCATAAAACCATTTCAAGTCCGCCCTGCAACAAATCACGAAAGGGGAAAAACCATCTAGCTGCATCCCGAGAAGATCCACAGAGATTATTGAGTCGCACTCGTACATGGTTAAACCTTGTAAGAAAAATCTCTGAAGCATCATAGACACCGGCTTTACCTTCTCGCTGTAAGGAACGATTGCAATTTTTTTGAGGTTTTTTGCTCTGGCGTTGAATTTGATCGGCGTTTTTGCAGATTCATCTTCATTTAGCTACTACATCATACAGGTGTGTTTTGTAATTCTTGTATGTTTTTTTGGATTCAGTTTCTTGTTTATTTTGTGATTTTGGGGATGGATCGGAACTTTGACTTTGATTTTAAAAGTGAGAAAGTCATGAAACGTTCAAGCTCTAATTGTACATCGGACCTCAGAAATTTTGGAACCTTATTTTGGCAAGAAACGGTTTTCCGTTCAATTTTTACTAAACCCTCGTTAGTGGATCACTTTTAGTTTTAGCTTTTTGAATGTAAAAACCCTAACGTCAGTTTTAGGGTAACGATACGCCGTTGGATGTGGGTGTTTAGAAATTTAAGAACAGGTCGTCAAGCTCCAGCAGCTAGGCAATAGATCTATGAAGGATCTGGAAAAGTTGGGAAGGAAATTTACCTTCAAAGAACGAAGAATGTATAGATCCCGACTTATTGTTTCTTTGCTTTTCCTCCGACGGTTGCGTATAAAAAGATTATAGTTTGTAGCTACTAGTTTGCAAATCAAGCGATAAATAGGTAGGTTTGTCATGAAAAAAATGCAGCTGGAGCTTGGAAGCGCTTATAGAGAGAAGTCTGAGTCATTTATTAGAAAACAAGGTAGGTGTTAGAAATGAAAAGCTTATATACACAAACATGGATACCAAAGGAAGTACTTCTGATTGACATTAATTAATCTGTATCCTGCCTTGTTTCTTCCTGTATAGAAATTGGTCGACATGGGTCTTGCCCTTGATCATCTCTTACATATCTATGTAGTGAATCTTTTTAGGTGCATGAATATGGATGCAAAAAGTAGTTACTGGACACCCTAGGCAACTGGAATGTATAATTAATGATGTATTTTGTCAATGTGACAGTTTGTATGATGAATGCTTTGAGTTGCTAAAGCCTGTGATGTTTCGTGTTTATACAGCTTCTCATTATTTTATTAGAAAATGAGCTTTTTTCCTAGGGAAGTAGAGAGAGAAAATTGAGCAACAAAGGAGAGTGCATAGCTGTCTGATTGTTTAGAAGAGCATTAATTTTGCTGTAAGGTTACATTTATCAACAAAGGAGACTAAATTTTTTTAGTGTTAGTTGAATGAATATCTTAAATGCTCTCCAGTAATCACAGAATATGAGAATCTTGTTGATAAAAAGATTTCTGATATTTGTATGGTAACATATTTGTTGTGGTTGTGAAGTTGATATTATCTGATGAGATGTGTGTTATACAGATTAGAGGTGTTTTATAACATGAGTGGTGCTTAAGCATTATAAAATCACATCCCCCCAAGTCGGTATCCCAGAAGATGGCTTCTGTTGGAATGGCTCCACTGACAGCTGAAAAAGTTGATGGTGATTCAATGTTTGTTGACAAACTGCCTGAGGAAATCAATGAAATGAAAATCCGAGATGACAAGGTGGAAAAGGTTTGTCTTTTTTAAGACTTTTTTTTTTATATGTGCATCTTGAATTCTGACATACATAAATGATAAACCTATCCTGTTGTAGGAAATGGAGGCAACTGTGGTGGATGGAAATGGCACTGAAACTGGTCACATTATCGTTACTACCATTGGAGGTAGAAATGGTCAACCCAAACAGGTAAAATCATGAAATGTGAATCAGTTTTTGTATTTATATGATATAAATTTGGTTGAGTTTTTAAATGTTTCAGACAATAAGCTATATGGCAGAGCGTGTGGTAGGGCAGGGTTCTTTTGGAATTGTGTTTCAGGTAATAAATAAATAGTTAATAGTAAATAGTTTATAAAGGAAAGAAAAGATGTATGATGTTGTGGGAATGGGAATTGAACTTGTGCAGGCCAAGTGCTTAGAGACTGGAGAAGCTGTTGCAATTAAAAAAGTATTGCAAGATAAACGATACAAGAATCGGGAACTGCAGACAATGAGACTTCTTGATCATCCAAATGTTGTTTCACTCAAACACTGCTTCTTTTCAACAACAGACAAAGATGAGCTTTATCTGAATTTGGTTCTAGAGTATGTACCTGAGACAGCTTATCGTGTAGCAAGACACTACAGCAAGGCAAATCAAAGAATGCCCATGATTTATGTCAAACTATACACGTATCAGGTATATTAAAATTAATTAAAAATCCCGTCTTCCTAAAAAGTTATGTGTTATGTATTATGTTGTAATGTGGTTTGGTTTGTTTTTCAGATTTTCAGAGCACTTGCATATATTCATGCAATCGGTGTGTGTCACCGTGACATCAAGCCTCAAAATCTTCTGGTGAATCCGCATACTCACCAGCTCAAACTCTGCGATTTTGGGAGCGCAAAAGTTCTGGTAATATAATATATTAATATGTTTGTTTGGTCATAAAAATTGATTTTGGATTTAATTATATTGTAACAAACAGGTGAAAGGGGAACCAAATATATCGTATATCTGTTCACGATATTACCGAGCACCTGAACTCATATTCGGGGCGACTGAATACACAACCGCAATTGATGTCTGGTCAGTCGGCTGTGTTCTTGCTGAACTCCTTCTAGGACAGGTTCTTTCTCTTTCTCTTTCTTTGTCACTTTAATCTTTATTACTTCACATCCTAATTTTTTTTTTTTTTTTTACAATATCTTTTTGTGCCTTTTTCTAGCCCTTATTCCCCGGTGAGAGCGGAGTTGACCAACTTGTAGAGATCATTAAGGCAAGTTTTTATTTTTTCTTCTTTTTATGAAATATTGAGGTTTTTTATTTTAATTTTTGAATTATGTTATGTGTGTAGGTTCTTGGTACACCAACTCGTGAAGAGATCAAATGCATGAATCCAAACTACACGGAATTTAAGTTCCCACAAATCAAAGCTCACCCCTGGCACAAAGTGAGTTTTATTTTATTTTATATTTTATATATAGAAGCCCAATTTGGGGTTTGCTTTATAAGTTTATAAATGTGTGATGTGTAGATTTTTCACAAGCGGACACCTCCAGAGGCTGTAGATCTTGTTTCTAGACTCCTCCAGTATTCTCCCAACTTGAGGTGTACTGCTGTAAGTGCATGCATATCTTATCTTCTTCCTTTTTTGTTTTGTTTATTATTTATTCTAGTTTCATGGATTAATAAATTGAACAAACAAATCAAAACAGTTGGAGGCATGCATTCACCCGTTCTTTAACGAACTTCGTGATCCAAGCACCCGTCTTCCAAACGGCCGCCCCTTGCCACCGCTCTTCAACTTCAAGCCTCAAGGTTAGTTCTGTCTGTTTTTTGTTAACTTTTCATTGCGATGGAATTCCTCCCTCCTTCATAACTAGAGGTTGATATAATAAATTAATTGATATGACAGAGCTAAAAGGGGCATCTTTGGAACTTCTGGCTAAATTGATACCTGAACATGCTCGGAAACAGTGTTCCTTCCTTGGCTTCTAAGTTGCAACCAATCACTTGCGTTGCGGGCCTGCCTAATTTATTGTTTGTCCTCAGCCTCAGATATAGCAAGCAAGCAACTGTGGTTTATTAATGTTTATGTTTGGTTTTTTGTTGAACCTGATTGCTTTTGTATTTTGTATTTTGTATTTTCTGCATATCATATGCATATGCATATGCATATGGTGAAACTTATGTAGACCTATCTGTATGGAGTATGGAGTATGAAGTATGATTTATATGCAAAAATCTATTGTGGTTGCTTATTAGATTCAATGTTTTAAAGAGTGGTTTGTGAACACCTAATTTTAGACAAAATTGCAAAAATGGTCCCTGTGGTATGCAAAATTTTGGGGTTTTAGTCCAAACCCCGAGTTTTTTTGGATCCATGGTTCTGTTGGAGTGGTTTGTATGTGCTTTTGGTTCTTGGACTTAACTCCTGTTAAATCAGATCTTTTAAGCCCCCTCATGTGCCTCACACGTGAGGGTAAATTCATCATTTCATATGTAAGGGATTATTTTTGTATAAACCGTTTTTTGGCCTCACTGCTTGGGCTCTTCTTCCCTAACGTCTCTTTTTTGTATCCTTCTTCTTCTTGAGCTCTGCCATAACAACAATGGTTTATAGAACCATTGATTTGAAAATATGGTTTTACTTTTTCCCTCCTCAATGGAGGTAATGTGATCCATTGTGAGCTGGCAGGTGTTTAGGGTTTGATTTGTAGTGGCTATATCAGTAGCGACTTCAAGATCATACAATGTTTCCTCTTTAGATCTTGTCTCTAGATTTTTGAGCTAAAACTGTTCTACTATCACTTAAATTCATCACGTAAACATCTTCATTCATTAACATAACCAGAAGACATGAATCCATTAGAGCTAGTTTAGGATTTTCAGCAAGCATTTGGTATGCAATATGAAAATATGTGTCTTATGTGTTCTTTAATCCCTAAGATAGAGCTTTCAGAACATCTGAATGGTTAATTGAATTTGACCCATTGGAATTCAGTTGCTCTTTTAATCTTCGATCCAATTCTAATCTCTCCCTGTCGAATTCACACTTCCATCTCCGGTGGTTATCTTTCAATTTCTTTGAAGCCTCTCGACTCCTAACTCTTGAACTCTTGTTTCTTCTTTTCTCAAAATCCTCAGTTGCAATGGGGTAACTCTCTTGCTGATCGACATATCTTTGATGGTTATTTTGTTGAGGTTGATTTTCGACCTGGGATTTGGTATCATCTAATGGTTGTTGCCCTGAAGGAGTTACATTCGTGGAATCAAGTTCATCGTCCCACAAAAAACCTTTCAATTCCTTATGAACAGCTGGGTACAAATTTGATAATAGATAATTAGGTGTATCAGGACCATTAAATCCATCATAAATCCCAACAAAAACCCACCCTTATTCCTCCGAAACGACGATGTGCACTCAATCTTCCCCAGATTTCCCTTGCGCCCATTGAAGATTCTGGCTCTAATTTATGAGCCCGTAATCGTCAAGAAAACTACCTTCACTGCTCAAATTAACATTACTAATAGTCAATTCATTGTTTTTCTTCGAAGCCCCAACAATCCAATCTTGAACCTTTAGAGAACCCACTTTTTTATTAATCGGGGCAACAATCGAGTTTTGCCCACATGTTACAAACATCTTTTTGGATGACACGAATCAGTGATCTTTTTCTTGATCTACGTTTATAGGCAAAGCTTCCTTGAGAATAACTTCATTAGAACTGCTCGTGACTACCCTTTTCGAGAGGACTCGAAAAAAAGTACCCGATAAGAAGCCATGCTCAATCGACCCTAAAATGAAGCCTATTTTTGGTTTATAGGACCATTGTTGTTGTAGCAGAGCTCAAGAAGAAGAAGGGTAGAAAAAAGAGACGTTGGGGAACGTTGGGGAAGAAGAGCGCATGCATTGGGGCCAAAAAACGGTTTATGCAAAAATGGTCCCTTACATATGAAATGACGAATTTACCCTGACGTGTGAGGCATATGAGGGGTCTTAACAGATCCTATTTAACGGGAGTTAAGTCCAGGGACCAAAAGCACATACAAACCACTCCAAAAGGACCATGGATCCAAAAAACTCAAGGTTTGGACTAAAACCCCAAAAATTTGCATACTACAGGGACCTTTTTTGCAATTTTGTCCTAATTTTATGTTAAGTACAGTTTCTTCGAAAACTAGGTTGGACCGGGTTTGAATCGATTTATTATACTTGGATAATCGGATTTCACTTAGTTCATTAAGAAAGCATCCATTTCCAAAGAAAATTGACTAGCTCGATTGATGAGGTCATTTGGAATGTATACATCTTGAAAGCTAATGCACATCAATGTTAGATACAGACCGACGGTTTTAACGGGAATCGATCATTAGACCGATTCAACTCAAAAATTAGTTTTTAAAACATTGGTTAGATTATAATTCCTTTTCAAATAAATTGTTTTGGTGTGTTATTTAATTATACCTACATCTAGGTTATTATTGTTTTGGTGTGTTATTTGGTTATTAATGATTTTACAGTAAATACGAAACCAAACACTTGCATTCAGTTAATGGAAATAAAAAACTATACTTTAGTTTTTAGTAATGATTAGTTTTAATTTTTGTTTATATCAGTTAAACTTATTATAGGAAATTTGCATAAAGAATATAAGTTTTGAAGTTAAGTTTATTAACATAAAATCCATCCTGGATTATTATTATTATTATTATTATTATTATTAAACCCAAAATACCGGTAAATGTTTGCAAAATAACCAATTTATTAGGTTGGTTAATGTCTATTTTCAGACTAAATTGTAACTAAACAATCAATGATGATTTTTTCGTTAGTATTGTTAAAGTTTAAAGACTCTGTTAAATTATATATATATATATATATATATATATATATATATATATAATATATATATATATATATATGGTTAAGTTCAAGTGAGAACACTATTTTATGTTACTATTCTACTATGAATTTTGTATATACAACGATATGATATTATTCGTCAACAAATATACGAACAATCACATATTAATATTCACATTAAAATTTTGTATGTACAACTTTATGACATTATTCATCACCGAATATATGAACAATCACATATTTAACATTCACATTAGAATTTACTAAATTACTATAAAATATATATATATATATATATATATATATATATATATATATATTATAGTAGAATAGCAATATAAAATTAAATATATTCATATTATAATTACTACAATACTATACATTTAAAATTCATAGTAGAATAGTAACATAAAGTAGTGTTATCAGGTTCTCACATTAAATAGTGTTTTCATTTGAAGTTAACCCTATATATATATATATATATATATATATATATATACATACTAAATTAATTTAAAAAGGTATCATATTTTCTTATTAAAAAACTCAAAATAAAGATACTATATATAATTTAAGAGAACTGTATATGATATAGATGATATATTTATGATTGCTATTATCACATATAATTTAAAAGAACTTGGTGATTTGTCATATGAAGAGTGTTTGTAGGTCACATATTACATTCATTGTTGAATATTCAAGCATTGAGTGTAAAAAAGAACTGATTTATATGAAAATAATAATAATGGAGGAAGTTTCAACTTTCTAGAACTTTAATTAGGAGCAATAGTCTTTGGTAAATCTTTATTTTGTGAAGTGTTGTTCGATTGTGAAACTTTTCGGTAAGTTATAGTTTATGGTAAATGTTTTATACACAAGACCTAAAAATTCAACAATAAAGTAGAATATGGCCTAGAATGCGTTTCTTACGACAAATAAACAAAGTCTTGTTAAGTTTTATAGGATATAGATTGTACCTTTATAATTGTAGTTATGATATTAATTAATGATAATCACAAAAAAACCTAAAAATGAGATATAGATTATCATTATTGTATATTTTTAATAAATAAATATGATTTTTTTTAAAAAAAAATTTTATTATTTTTTTAATGAAAAGGATGTAGTTAATATATTTATTGAGTTTTTTAATAAAAAATATCTATTTTCAAATTAATTTAGTTTATATAAAAAGAAAATCTTCAAAAAAAAAAAAAATCTTTAAACTTTAACCATATTAATGAAAATACCATCATTGATTATTTATTATAATTTGGCCCTGACATTAACCGGATACAAAAGTTATTTTGCAAATATACCGATATTTTAGGTTTAATTGTAAAAAATAATCATGGATAGCTCTTGCATTAATGAAGCCAAACATTAGAGATTTTTCTACAAATTTTCTATTTATTGTTGTTTAATTTTTCGATTTCTATACTCTCTCTATCAAGATACATTTTTGTAGGGATTTTTTTTAGTTACGTTTATATTTTTATAAGGATTTTTTTAGTTATGCTTATATTTCATTTTTATAATAGTTTTCAATTTGATATTATTAAAATATCCATTATAATAAATGAAAATAATTTTATCATATTTCAATCTCCAATTAGTTTTGATACTTGTCATTTTATGATATTTTTTAAATAAATAATATCCACATGCTATTTTAGGATTTTTTTTTCAACTTTTAAAATTAAAAAATCTCATAATACTTATATACTAAATATAAATATAAATTCTTAACATAAATATTTTCATTAAAAATTATAATTTTTTTATTACATAATAATTAATAATAAAATTTAATATTTATTTTTCTATAAAAAAAATTATTCATCAAAAAAGAGTTATTTATGACCGCTTGTTTACGTGGACATGTTTTATTACCGAGTCATATTTAGTAAAAACTTATGATCAAAAAAACTTTACCAACGCCATACCTCCAGGCTCCTACCATCGATTCGCATCGTATTATAAATACCTTGGCCTGACTTGGACGTTTTTCTTTTCTTTCCACGCTTCTCCGGCGAAGCGGGGTTTCCTCTCTGACATGTACACCTCCATAACCACCGAGAGGAAGATCATTTAGAGAAATAAAAGAGGTTCTCCCGTTTGTCTAACGTTTGTCTCCGTTTTCTGACCTAATCATCCATCTCTGCTTTAGGCATTTGAATCGTCACGCCTTCTGGTAACATTTTGCTCCGTCTCTTTTTTATTTTTTTATTTAGGGTTTTTGTTGGCGTTTCAGATCTATCGTCAAGGTTTTGGTACGATGATAAAACCCTAAGCTAAATGTGGCTGTTTGTATCGCGAAATGGCGTTTTTTGTCAGGGTTTATCTCATTTGCTCGGATTTTGGTTTTTTGAAATTGTGCAAGATATTTATGAAGTAAATATGAAATGATTTTTGAAAGAAATGTAATATAGTTGATTTTGTTGCATCTCGAACCTATGGGCATATAAACGAACGCCTCCGGATTGTATTGCATACGTTTAAGGTTATCTTGGTTGTGTATGCTGATAATATTTTCTCAATGATCCGGACGCTTTAGCTGTGAATACTTTTGAGGAGTATATGATTGCATTTTTAACCACAAAACACGGAAGCCATTTTGTTAGCTCTAGGCTTACGGTATAGACCATTAGCTTGGAATTGGGGCTTTTTATGGTTTCCTAAGAGGCATATCATAGCATGTGTTGCTGACTTGATCAAAACTAATTAGGCTTTCATTTTTAATGCCATGTATCATAAGTGGCAGAGTTTTTAGGGTTTTATATCGTAAGTATGAACCACAGTTTCTATGTAGTTATACAGTTGTTTCATAAGCCTTGATAGAATGTCAAATCAACAACAGCAAGGCTGTGGGGTTTGTTCTCATTCATTCAAATATATGAGTTATATTGTTATTTAAATCAATATTCAGCTCTTACTTGTAAAGTTTTGCAAATAGTAAGTTGTATGTTGTTTTACCAGATATTTGAAACTGCTTTGCTGAAATGGCTGCTGCTGCAACTAAAACATCTGCTGGTCCACGCTATGCACCAGAGGATCCTACTCTCCCCAAACCATGGAGAGGGCTAGTTGATGGCAACACTGGGAATCTTTACTTTTGGAATCCAGTGACTAATGTCACCCAATATCAGAGGCCCTCAGTGCCCAAGGAAGATCCACCTCCACCAGAAGTTGAGGTGCAACCATCTTCCCAAGATGACAATGGTGTTGCTGCTGCTTCTGATGATGTTACACATGAAAGAAGTGTGAATGGTGGATCAAACTTTTCTTCCGAAACAATTTGTCATTCTCATGAGGTTTGTGTTCAACCTATTTTTACTGTTCCATACTTCCATATTATTGTTCATGACTCTTGTTCTAATCTTATGTTGTTAGACTACACAAGATACATATGATGCCCCAAAAGAGACAGTTGCTTCTGGGCAGGGAGGGACTCCTTATCAAGCTCATGTCAGATCAGCTGGAAGTGGTTTATCACCAGATGCTTATCGCCAAAAGCATGAGATAACTGTATCTGTAAGCACCAAATACATGATATCATTAGTAAGTTAAATTGTACGTTGTCTGTTATGATGATGCAAATGCAAAATTGTTCAGGGAGACAATGTGCCTCCACCCTTTACATCATTTGAAGATACTGGTTTCCCTTCTGAGTTGCTTAGAGAGTTACTCCAAACGGGATTCTCTGCTCCAACTCCCATACAAGCACAATCATGGCCAATTGCTATGCAAAATCGTGACATAGTAGCAGTTGCCAAAACAGGTTCTGGAAAGACTTTGGGTTACTTACTTCCTGGATTCATTCACCTTAAAAAAACCCGCAAGAATCCTCAGTTGAGTCCAACTGTTTTGGTTTTATCACCCACAAGAGAATTGGCCACACAGATTCAAGATGAAGCTGTCAAATTTGGAAAATCATCTAGAATATCTTGCACGGTATAATCCTACTACTGTTAAATCTTTAGTAAGACTGTAAGAGTAATGGTAGTTAAGTTGAATTTAATTTGTGTTGTAATGAATGAAGTGTTTATATGGAGGAGCACCAAAGGGTCCCCAGCTAAGAGATCTGGCAAATGGGACAGACATTGTGGTTGCGACACCTGGGCGTTTGAATGATATTCTTGAAATGAGAAAAGTGAGCCTGAGTGAGGTGACTTATTTGGTGTTGGATGAAGCGGATAGAATGTTGGACATGGGATTCGAACCTCAAATTAGGAAAATAGTAAACGCGGTCCCCACGCGTCGTCAGACTCTTATGTACACTGCCACCTGGCCGAAAGAGGTGCGGAAAATTGCAGCTGATTTTATGGTTAATCCGGTTCAAGTCAACATCGGGAACATCAATGAACTTGTTGCCAACAAGTCCATTACACAGGTAGCAATCTTTGTGTTTCTTTTGTAAATTATAATAATGTTTGATGATGTGATAATTTGTTTTGCAGCATGTGGAGGTTGTGGCTTACAATGAGAAACACAGACGATTGGAGCAAATACTGAGATCTCAAGAACCCGGATCTAAGATTATTTATTTTTTGTTCAACAAAGAAGATGTGTGATCAGCTGGCACGTAATTTGACCCGCCCGTTTGGTGCTGCTTCAATTCATGGAGATAAAAATCAGGGGGAGAGAGATCATGTGCTCAGTCAGTTTCGCTCAGGCAAGTGTCCTGTGCTTGTAGCAACCGATGTTGCTGCTCGTGGACTCGACATCAAAGATATTAGGTACTTTTTTTTTTTTTTTTTGTGTGTTTTTAATCAATTAATTTATTGTTGTATTAAAACAATTAAATGTTATGCAGGGTGGTGGTAAATTATGATTTCCCTACGGGGGTTGAGGATTATGTACACCGGATTGGAAGAACAGGGAGGGCAGGGGCTACAGGAGAGGCTTATACCTTTTTTGGTGATCAAGATGCAAAACATGCATCTGAGCTTGTTAAGCTTTTGGAAGGAGCAAATCAACGTGTCCCTAATCAAATTCGTGAAATGGCTTCACGAGGTGGTGGAATGGGAATGGGTGGTGGCAGATCTAGGCGCTGGAGCTCTGACACTGGTGGTGGTGGTGGCCGTGGAGGTGGATATGATTCAAGCTATGGTGGTGGAAGAGGTAGCTTTTCCTCTGAAAAAAGCGGAAACCATGACAGGTATGTAAAAGTCAACTTTTACGGATGGTGGCTGTTAGTAATAGTAGTAACACAAACCCTATATGTCCATTGCAGTGACAGAGATGCAGGTGGTGGCTATCAGGGTAGGAGCTTTCATGAAACCATGTTTGGTGGTGGTGGTGGCAGAAGCCCGCCCAACAAAGGTGGTTCTGGATGGGGGGTGTCCAATGACCGTAGCCGTAGCCGTAGCCGTAGCCCAGAGAGGTTTGGTGATGCGCCACCTGTACGAAGCTTTCACCAGGCAATGATGGAACGCGCCCGGCCTCCACCTGTATTTAAATTTGGGGAAGCTGACGGGAATAATGGCGGTGCAAATTAATTAAAGGCTTTTGTTTTGTGGTGGAGTTATCTATTTTGTGTTTTAGTTAATATAAAGTATGGTAGTAGTGGTTATGACTTATGAGTTATGACTTATGACATGCATAGATGTGTTTGTCTATTTTGGTTTTGGGAGATTCTAACATAGAGGGCCAGATAGATGGTGGCCTAATAGCCTTATAGGTTATGTTTTTGTTTTTGGATGGATGGATGGGTCATGTCATGTGTAAAGCGTGAGAAGCTGTTCTTGTGTATGCTATGGTCTTTGTAGCTGTTGGGTTATGGTATCTTCATTCCCTTCCCCTTGCGCTTATTATTGTGAATATTAAAGCAGGTTTTTTATTTGCTTAACCCATCAAGTCATTTTGCTCGTATAGACTCAAAAGTAAACCATGTATAACTGTTCAGATTAAGCCGTTACACACAAAAAAAAAATCCAAATATATATTGGTCATACTTTATTGAGTGCTCTGTTCCTTTTCTAACCAGGGCAGAGAGTGATACAAAAGAAAAAGGAAAATGAGTGTAGAATGTATATATATGCACAATTATTGTTTCCAAGGCAAGGGAATTGAAATGATATACTATGCGCAACCTATGAAGCTTCTATTACAAGTCAAGCAGCTTTTGGTTTTATCCTCTTAGCTCTTGAATACAGGAAAACTCCAGCAAGTGCCAAACCAGTTCCTAAAATTTGATGAAGGTGAGATAAGTAGTAGCAAATGCAAATTGTAATTGTAAGCGGTATCTGTAGTGTAGTGTAAAAATCCATATTTACCAAGGGAGTTGATGGGAGACACCGGTGTCTGAAAGAAGATAACAGAGGACACAATGACCACCACTCGCTTCACACAGTTTCCCACAGCATGTGTCACTGGATTTACCATTTGTAGTATCATATACGATACCTGTCACTCCTCTCCACATACATACTTTTACTTTAATCATCACATCACATCACATATATGCTACTATTCTTTGTGGGTAAATGTGGTAGAATTTAACCTTTTTTTTACCTGTTGATAACTATGAAAGCAGACACCAGCTAGAACAGACCTCACACATAGCTCTCTCACATTCACACCTCGACTCGCCTAACAAGTTACAAGAATCCTATCATGATTTATAGTCTAAAATATTATATGGTAATTCAGGTCTATAGTCTATACTCACAGCAGACTGCAGGTACTCCGGAGTAAACTTGAAGCCTTCTAATAAGAACATAAAAGGGATCAACAGGATAAAAGAGATGATGGTGATAACTGAGAACAGATTGATATTATCCAAAGCTTCCTGTCCAGATAATTTAATTGATTTAGGAGTGAATGCTAACTATATAATCAGTAATCGCGTTATTACCTCTTTCCTGACCATAAACTTTTTGCTAAGTACATTGCGTGATTGGTTGGTGACATTTGAAGCCATTGCACTTCCAAAACCGATCCTGTATAATGTGTATATATATATTTTATCAAATCAAAATGTACAGATGCATGGTCAACTCTGATTGTTTGACTCAATTAAAAAGTAGGTATGACTACGGGTTGGGTTTTGAACCAGTTAAATGAAGATTCGGTGAAGGATGCCAATGCAACACCACCCACAATAGGTACAAGAGATGAAACCACCCATAATGTTGGTCTCTGTCGACAAACATAATTAGTAGAAATTACCCAATATGATCACTTGATTAATGGCATTACAGTATATACTGACCTCTGAAAGTAGAAGGGCAGAAAAGAGAACAGTGAAAAAAGGCTCCATGGCTTTAATCGTGTGAGTGAAGGAAACCGCAACTCTTCCAAGACTAATATTAGTCAAAAGGTTTCCCATTGTGTGTGCCACTGCCAACATTACCACAGGTACAATCTGACATCACATCATCAACCATACATTTTATATAATCAGCTACATACCTCTCCACCTACTCATTGCTCAAACAAACATTTATTCATTCATTAACCAACAAATGAACTAGTGTAAAAAATATAATATAATTAAGCACCTGGGATTTATAAATCTTGGGTCTTGGATGAAGTTTAAGTGCCCACATAATCAAAATCATCACAGTCCCACACCCAAATTGAAACGTGGTCACTGTCATTGGGTATGGAAAAACCTTAAGAACCTGTATCATGTATCATGTACAAAACAAACCAAATTAATCTCGTCCATTTATTCTTATCAACACACAAAAACACAGTTTAATTAATTTCTGACCTGTTTGTTGAAGATGTTGAAGTAGATGTTCAAAAGATACCACACTCCAAACATGGCTGCCAGCTGTAAGTTCCGGCCAAACTCAGCTGGACTTGCAGACTCACCGGAGCTTTCAGCAGCCCTGACCACTGCCAAATCATTGTGGAGTCGTTTAGGAGACAAGAAGGAATAGTAGTTATTGTGGGTTTTGTAATTAGAGCCGAAAGTGAAGCCTGGTGTGTTTGAACTTATGCTTCTACATAGTAAATGGATTGGTGAAGAAGAAGAAGATGAAGAACTTGGTAAGATTTTGGGTGGGTTGATATGCTTTAGGGGTTTTGGGTTTAGATTGGAGCTAGAAAGAGCTAATGCATAGCTCTCCATTGATTGTTTGTGGAACTGAAAGAAAAAGATTTTGATCTGAGCTGGAGAGAGAGAGAGTGAGAGATTTTGATTTGCATGGGATATAAATCCAACAATTTACATGTCAGTAAGGTGGGGACATGAATCCCTGCATTACAAATTTATGGCCACCATTCAATTTATTAATAAAACATAAATTTTTATATTTTTACAAGAAAAACATGGAGTAATTATTGTAAAAGATTTCCTAATTAAAATTTGGTGAAGAGTTGTTAATATACCTACAAAAGTTGACATCATTTATATATATTTTTTGTTATTTACTCTTTTTTTTTTGTTAAAAATATAAGATGCATAAAATAGAAATGTTTATTAAATGGTACAACTAAAATGCACAAAAATTGTTGAGGGCATGAGTTAGAGTTGGAGGACACGTGGACGGTAAGTAGTGAAGAGGCTGACATGCCCCGTTCCAGAAGTTTTGAGCGAAATTAAGCCAAGCCTTATATGCCAGATGAGTTGTGTGTGGACACCCTTCCAAAAATTTTATTTCCACTCTTTTTCATTATCTTTAATATTAATATATCTTCATTACAAATTGTGTTTGAAAAAGAATTGCACCTAAAAGCTATTTGTAATTCTTTATAGGACGGTTTAGCAAGAGAAAATGGATGTTATTATTTATTGTATTTATTTTGGAACTAAAAAAAAAAAAAAAAAAACTAGTAGTTTTATAGAGACAAGTGATAACTATCTGATTTGCATGAAAAGCTAATTAAATAAATGACCTACTCATTCTAATCTAACATCTTTTCCAAGTAGAAATATTTGCATACTTACTGTAAAATCCTATAAATAGAACGTTTTTTTTTTTTTTAAACGATGAATGTATTTTTAATATGAGTTTTTATATAAGTTATTAATTTCGTCTAATTCATAAAGATCCGTTTGTATTTCAATCAACAAACAATTAAACAAACTTCCAATCCAAAATATAATACCATGTGTGAAATTCAAAATTAAGATCCATTATAACCATATTTATTTTTATCCTTGACTAACTAGCAATATTTTTCAAAAAAATAAAATAATGCTTTATATTTTTTTATTATGAAATTGTATTCTCATTAAGTAGATAAAAAAAATCTCGATTTAAATCCGGCTCAATAAAATTGAACTGTTTTTACGACAGATTCATTTAAAACCACACCACCAATTTGATATAGGTTTTTTTTTAACGAAAGTGGTTTTTCCTTGATTTTTTAAATTAAACTGAACTGAACCGGTTTTTAAACTAACTCGATTTTTTTAACATAATTTTACTTAAAAAAAACCGAAAAAACTAAACCGATTAGGCTGGAGAGAATGATATCATTATTACCACACCCCACTTCATTTTGCCACACTCCAATATCATACATTAGGAATTGTATACTCTCTCACACACACAGAGAGAGAGAGATAGAGAGAGAGAGAGATTAACCCGGTATAAATTATGAAGAGGAAGTGATGTTCATTATGGTAAAACATGTCATATGAGCACCTCATCTTGCCAAACTCGACTCCCTGTGGTCTTATAACCTAAATCCGTGTTTAACCGGAGTTGATTTAAAACTAGAGGTGATAATTGATTACACGACACAAAAAAAATACACAACACGAAATAAAATTGGGAGGAAATTGAAATTCGAATTCGTGTTTGTGTCAAGTGTAAAAACACGACGTTGTGTCGCGTCGTGTTTATGTTCAAAATTTGAAACAAAATTGACATGGTTTAGCATTTGTCTGTCGTGTTTTTCGTGTTAGCTAAAAAAAAACACGATATCGTATCGTGTCGTGTTCGTGTTACTTAAAATATTATCGTGTCGTGTCGTATCAAACAACAAACACGACACCATAACCCGATTTGCCACTGCTGTTTAAAACCAACGATTGTGCACCTACGAAAATGAAGTATCGAACTTTTCGATAAAAAAATAAAACTTATTTTAATTAATTATTTTAACAAAAAAAACTCTATAATTATATGAAAACACATGATTTAAGAGTGGTCTTCAATAATCACAATCTGGTTTGCTAGAAGAGATCTGTGTTGGGAAATTGCAAATTGATCTCGATCTTCCGATCGACGTTCTGTTTACGATGGAGAGTATGACCGTTTTGACGGTTGACTCCATAAAGTAACACCTTTTTTTAAAGGAAGTAAGGAATCACAGTGAGATATGGATATGATTCATCGTTGTGTGGATTTTATTATGAAAGTCATGAATCCTGATTAAAGTATTATGCGATGACTCATACTCATCTATCTTCGTTATGACACACGTGCACAAAATATTGTCAGACTATTCATATGCATCCTTAATTTTATAACACAGGATTTCTTCGATCTAATAATAATAGTAGTCGGTTGGACGTGTCTGTTGTTCTCGAAGGAGAAGGAAACCCCGAATTTTTTTCGACTCCAAATTACGAATCCTTTTGGTGTTTTTGATTCATAGAGAACTAAGCAGAAGATGCAGTCCAAGTGTTTGTTTTAATTCCTCTCCAAGGTACGTACAACCGCTTTCAATTTCTCATTTCATCTTCTATCTCTATGGCTTTGCTTTAGATAATCGCATGCAGATGCAATGGAATTATTTTATTCGGCTACGTGTTTGTGTGTAAATGGATAAATGGCCATCTATCTATCTCATCCGATCTGGGTGTTTACTTGTTAATTTCTCAATCTTGCAGTTGAATGCTATATGCATTTAGCTTGTTACTCCTTTTGAATTTAGATTGTGGTATAATGTTATCTTGAAGGTTATAGTACGTAGGATCAGACGAATCAAATGTTGCAAAACAAATCGATCAGATCCTTTTCTAAATTAAATAGCCAGATTAAGTTGTTAAACACGATGTGATGTGTCATGTAGGATGGTGGTTGCATTTTCCGGTGACACTACTCGCCTGAGTTACTGGTTGACCTGGGATTTCTTGCTCTGTTTATCATCGGTGTTTACCTCCACAATCACAGCATCAATACTGATATGGAAATATGAAGGTTCAGACAACACAGAAAGAGCTTCTTCTCTTTATGATGGTGAATCATGGATGCCATGTCTGAAAGGACTAAGCCCTTTTTGGTTAATGGGTTTCAGAATGATTGCATTTTGCTTGATTTTAGCTGCTTCCATTGCTGATGTCGCTACTCATGGCACCAACTTATTTTACTATTATACCCAGTAAATAACTCATTATTATTATTATTATCTCCATTTCCATCTACTACTACCACAATCTTGCAATGAGAATGAGCTGTTGTTTTTTTTATAATTATTTCACTAACTTACAACTTGTGTTGGTGTGTAGGTGGACTTTGATTTTGACAACGATCTATTTTCTGGTATTTAAATTATCACTTAATCAATTCATGTTGGTTGAATATTATTCGAGTGTCATCGTTTTCTTTGACTTGGTTTTTTCATTTGTTGTTTCTGTTTAGTTTGGATCGGTGGTATCTGCTTCCGGATGTTTCCGGAAGGACAAGAAGAAGATTTATAATGCTCATAGAAAAGATATGATAGATACAGAGCAAGGAATTGGAATCTATATGCCTCTCAACCATGAAGTAAATCTTCAAGAGGAATGTTATTTCTCACAAACTGCTGCCATTTGGGGATACATTTTTCAAATTGTATTTCAGGTACTTTAACTTTAAAATAATAATATGCCGATATTAATTACCCCTTTGGAAACCAATTTTGATTTTTCCTTCACAGATTACTGCTGGGGCAGTGATGCTGACTGATGGTGTTTACTGGCTTGTAATCTTTCCATTTATTAGCATTTCAGATTATGAAATGAGTCTTGTAAGTCTTTATAATTGCTTAACACCATTGTTTTGATTTGAGAGTTTTTTATTTTATTTTTATGGGGTTTAAAGATTTTGTTGTTGTTGTTGTTGTTGTTTGTTAAAACCAGTTAACAGTTGTTGTTCATTCACTTAATCTTGTTTTGGTGCTAGGAGACACGGCCATGAATAGCTTGGTAAAGTTATTCATCATTAATTTGTTTTTTTTTTTTTTAAATTCATTTGAAGTTTAAAAATTGAAATGAGACTCTTGTTTCAGCGTTTCCCATGGTTCAGAATTTCATATTTTATCTTGTTCACTGTGTTATATGTGATCTTCGAGTGGATTGTCCATGCCTTTGTTGAAACATGGTAACTATATACAAAACATCATTAAGTTAAATAAATAAATCTTGATTAAGATTTATTTCAAAAGTACATAATGTTTTACGTGCTTATGATTTGTTCCAGGTGGCCATACCCTTTCCTTGATGTATCCGCCCCATATGCTCCTATGTGGTATGTACATATATATGAATTATATATATATATATATATATATATATATATATATATATATATATATATATATATATATATATATATATATATATATATATATATATATATATATATATATATATATATATATATATTATATATATAAAATCATATAGTAAATTCATTTCATTATTAATTAGTGGCTAACCAAACATGATGATGAAATGCAGGTACTGGATGGTTGCAGTGTTGCATCTTCCATGCTATGCTTTGTTTGCGTTGTTTGTGAAAACAAAGTACACAGTCTTGTCTGGATGGTTTCCTGAGTCATATCAATGTTTGAGATGATATCTGTTTTAGATAGCATTAATGCTCTTTTACAACAAATTAATTTCATATTCATTAGATTATTGCACTCTTTATTTATTCTTTTCAAATCTGACAAGGTCATTTTAACTTTTGTTACAAATGTAGTCAACTTGTTCAATATATATATATATATATATATATATATATATATATATATATATATATATATATATAATACAAGTTGCTTGTTATCTACTGATGGTTATAAATTGTGAGTGATTTTAGTTGTGTTCAACATTATATTGTAACCATCATATGATATATTATCGTTTAATAACAGTAATATGGTTTAATTATGATTGTTTTATGACCTTTGTGAGAGATAATATTTTTGATGAATGTATACTATAAACATTATTAATTTCATTAAAAATGAAGAAAAACTCGAATACTACTGATGTGATTTTTTATATGTAACACCCCTCACATGAGTCTATCTGAAATAGCCTTTAGGTTTTGGTAACTTCCTTTAAAATAATTTTAGAGTTTTAGTTGCAGAATAATGGTCTCAAAGTTTAAATCAAAATATCTTCCAAAGTACAAAAGCGGATAACGATCCTAATTAAAAAATTTCAAACATTTAGTGGTTTAATAAAAACTTTGCTTGCGAGAGTGTCACAACAGATATCAAAATAAGGTTTATGGAAACATTTGAACCAAAGATCTTCTAAATATTCAAAGCTCAAGAGTCTCCTAAGTTTCTGACAATATCTACTAACTTGCAAAATTATTATGAACAAATGAGTTAGACTATGGGGAACCTAGTGAGTACGATCTCAGGGTTAAGCATCATGGACAATGTATGAATGAACACTTTGGATCATACACCAATGCATAACTCGTACCTTCTCAAAACAGTTACCTTCTCAAAACAACAATTACCAATTTAGGGCAATAACATATATTTTAACAAAGTACATTGTAATTTATGAGAATTTCCATACAAACTTCACGGTTGAATAAATAATACCAAGTGACTTTGAGTAGTACCTTTCAATAATCAAAATCCAAAATAGAAGTAATTAAACAAATAAATACTCATGTGAGCTAAATCGGGATAGAAATCCAATTTACTAAATTTAATGGTTTATAAACATCCAAGAAGCATATGTACTGACTCAGTTTCAAAAGGCAAACATGACAAAAAGGGGTTTCATATACCTATAAGGCTTTCTTAAAACATTTATATTTCCAAAAAAGACAAGTAAGTCCCAAAATTACAGAAGGGGTAAAACAAAATCAATCCCAAATAAGATGCAATGCATGCAACTACTCCCAACTCTTTGTCAATCTTAAAGTCCAACCCACAACAAATATTGGATGTAAAGAACTCGTGACAAACAACAAACTTTTGTTCTAACATCCAACAACAAAATAATGATGGTCGGGTGTGAATAATGCACGACATAATCGAGTCGCCCTTACATCCACAAACAAGGCACTAGGACCATCCAACCTAAGCCACACGAGGGGTAGCGAGTCTCTACTCGTGTACATGAGGATTATCTAGAAATATACTAAAAAAACAAAAAATCAAATTACAACTATGCATTGGGTACCTGGGACCACAAAGTCACACCTATCCTAGTATGATTTGCATGTATGCAATAAGTAGGATGTCAAAATCTTTTTTCTCAAAATAAACATTTTAGCTTTATACCAACTAAATGCATTTCTGAAAAATATAATTTCATGAATACACAAATAATCCTCATACAGGCAACTAGCAATCAAATATATGTTAGATAGTTTCAAAATGCAAACCCAATAATAGGGGATGTGTATTCCCGAAGGTTCTAAAACGGGAAGTCAAGAATATGTGAATTCTTACTATCGAAGAATAAGATAGAGCCCTTTATTTAATTAAGGGTGTCCCCAAATTATAAAATCTAATATCAAGTAAAGGAAAACACTTTAGGGATTCATAGAATCGGAATCATATTTATATATGTACTTAACTTCAAATAATGAGAAACACATATAACATAATCATATAGTGGGTACAATGTTCCTAGGTAAAAGTGCTCACCTTAGTCCTAAGCTTGCAACACCAAACTGTTTCTTTATTTAAGTTACACCCTTGATCTTTATCTGTTGAATCACCTCAAATGAGTTATTCTCCCCCCCCCCCCCCCCCCTCTAAGTTTGGGCACCTCTTAGACAACACCTATTTTCATTTCCAAGTATTTGTTACCAAAATAACTAAAATACCCTTTTAAGATCTTATTTAATTAGACTTTCCCCATAAGCTTATATACTTCCTATAGATGTATACATCTTATTATTTTCAAAACCCAAAATGGCCCATTAAGTCACTTATTAAGTTATTAATTCCAAAACTTAGTTTTTATGGTTTCAAAACCTTCCTTATGTTAAAACAAGAAATTAAGTGAAAACGATGCGCGATTTCGAGCATGGATGAAAACATTATGACCAAAATAAGTTTTTTTTGTTGGTAACATGAAATTAGAACACTAGACACAACCCATGTCAAATTGACACGACCCGTGTCGTGCGCAACAGGTCAAAAATGGCCCAAAATTTACTTTTATGCATTCTACTTTGGTTCCAATGCATCCAAACATTCTACAACTTACCTAAACGAGTCAAGGAGATTTAAATACATGCTAAAACACTTCAACTGCCATAAGAAAGGATCCCTAAAAGGTTTATATCCTTGGAATATAAGTGAAACCCCAAAACATACTACAAACTTCTCTTAGAAGCTTAATGAGGTTATGGAACTCAAATTGCTCCAAAAATCACTCTGTGTGAAGATGAATTTAAGCCAATTGGTTTAGTACAAATACAGAACTTATAAGATATGAAATGCATGGAGTTGTGGAAGGTTAAAACTTAATATATGATTAACATTAAGCTTAAAGCTTCTCATGAACTCCAAAGAAGATTTTTCTTCTTCAAAACTCACTAAACAAAGCATGAATTTCCATCAAGACCTTAAAGATGATGATTAAAAATCATGAGAACATTGTAACATTCCGTTTAAAAAAAAAATAATTAAGTAAAAATGAAATAAATAAAATAAAACAAGTAAACAAATAAGATAAATAGATAAATAAATAATAAACCTTAAAACCCCGAAATACATTTTACAATATTTTAGCCCTAAAGTCGTATTAAATTAGAAGGGTATACACATTAGGGGTGTTAAAAGTTATCTTTTTGGATATTGAGGGTTAAAATGGTAACATATGGACTTGTATTGAAAATAATCTTTGAAGTAAGGGCTATAGAGTAAATATTGGATTTAAATTGATAAGGGTTTGTGGAGTCAGGGGCTAATCTTGTACAAATGGTATGATGTTTAAAATGGAGATGGGGGTTTAAACCCATCACCACCCCTCCATTTCCCTCGTCTCTTTGATGCTAAAACCCTAACCCTAATTCTCTTCCTAGCCGCCACCCTTATACCTCCCATCCTCCAACCGCCACCTCTTAGTCGCATAAATACCATCAGGTGACCATCACCGTCGACCTCCTTTCCCCCATGACGGAAGAGCCCGAGACTGACGAGGAGTGAAGGGCAGCCTCAAGGCGCTGTTGCTTCATCATCCACCATTAACAGCCGACGTTGCCAACCCCTTGTCGTCGCTGATGAAGAAGAACCGCAAGTTGACGCCATTATGTTACGAAGGCCGCTGATGGAAGCTGTGACAGCAAGCGATCGGAAGAAGCAAGTTGTCGTTGTTGCTGATCTTGATGACGAATCGTGTTGCCTCTCCTTCCCTGTCTTTGCTCTGTTGCGCCCGGTCCGACTAGAGCCACTGACATCCGCTGTCGTCGCCATGCGACTCTTGTATGTTCGGCTTCTTTGGTCTTTGTTTTGCCACCGTGATGGTGGCTATAGTCGTGTTTTCATTATGAGTGTGTATTGTTGTTGCTAGTTTGTGCATGGCGGGTGTGCTTTCTTGGCCGGATAACCGAAAAGAACCATCATGGCCGCCAACTATGGCGGTTGCCGCCATTTCCGTTTTTCTGCCACCATCAACCATCATATGTGGGTGGTTGTGTTGTTTTTTCATTTATTGGTGTGTGTTTGCTTAACCTGGAACCAAAAGAGAACCCACCACCACCACTGTGAGGTGGTGGCTGCCACTTATTGCCGTCGCCGGCCATTGTTTTTAGTGGTTATATTGGGCTTATTCCTTGTTCTTTTGGTGCTAGTGTGTGTGTGTGTGTGTTGTAAGAAATTGTATGCACATTGGATAGTCGGAATATTACTCAAACCGTCGCCGTGTGCGGGTGGCTGTCGCCTCCTACCGCCATGGACCTCCACCAACCACCACTGCTTGAGGTGGCAGTGGGTGATGCCCAATTTATTAATTATATATTTATTTATTTAATTAGATAATCAATTAACTTTAGGGGTTTTGGGTCGAAGCTTTTGTTCGAAGGAGAACTCAACGAGTTAGTTGTAGAAGGTCCCGATTTTGTTCGAAGGAGAACTCGGCGAGTCCTTGAAGGACTCGGCGAGTAGGGTCGAAGCTTTTAGCACTTTGAGGATTATGGAACTCGACGAGTTAGGGGACCAACTCAGCGAGTTGGGTCAAACAGATGTTGACCTTGACCAAAAATTTGACTTAGACCAAGGTGTTGACCTTGACTTTGACTTTGACTAGAGTTGACCCTTGAAAGGGTTAAGTTTATGAAATGGTAATTAAGGAAGGTTGTTGTGTGTAGGAGTTGAGAGGATTTGATCCCTGTATCGAGGATAGTTTAGACACTTCACGACATTGAGGTGAGTTACCTTCTAGTAGAAGTAGAAGTGGGTCGAAGGCACCAAGGCGGACCCACTAGTAAGAGTTATAGTAGAGATAATTGTCTTTGTGATAATTTTCTGGTAGATGTTTATCTATTATGATTACTTGCTAGTATGCTATGATGTTATGTGATAGAAGGGGTATGATAGACCCCAATATCGGTCGATAGGGCCGCAGGGGTATGCCAGCACCTAGATAAGTTAGACAATATATGACTTGTATGTTTTTGCACTAGGATGCTATGTAGTAGAGTAGGGGTGAAATAGTCCCTACTACCAGTCGAAAGGGCCGAAGGGGTAGACCAGCACCCTGATATGCTAGGCA